CAAATGTGAGCCTTGATAATTTTTTCAAAGACTTTGCCAAGGATGGAGGTGAGACTGACTGGCCTATAGTTGCCCGGGTCCTCCTTCCTCCCCTTCTTGAAAATGGGGACCACACTGGCCCTTTTCCAGTCCTCCGGGACTTGGCCCGTGCACCGCGAGCATTCAAATATTCCCACCAGTCCTTCTGGTCTCCTTCCTTCTGGTCCTGGCTCCTGTCGTCTTTAGGCATCAAAAGGTTTTCAAGGAGCTTGCAGTCTTTTCTGGGGTTGGTCTCCACTTTGTCCAGCTGCGCCACATCCCTGAGCAGCTCGCCTTCCTCCTTACCTCTGTGAACCAGACCGTTCACTTCCAAGATGCCCCAGTTCACATCCAGCCTGGCCTGCTGACTGAAGAGGCAGGATCCATCATAGAGCCACAGGCGTTTGAGGTCCCTGGGCTCCAAATCCATGACACAGATGTGCACATCTTCCTCTGCCACTCTGCTGACACAGCAGGGAGAGCTCCAATCAGTGTGCAGGTGACACGGGATCCAATCAGGGTCCTCATTCCAGTCATGAACACCTGCCAGGACATCAGAGATCAGGGAGCAGGTGTGGAGTTTGGGTTTGGGATGTCAGAGGAGGTGAGATGAGGGACAGGCAAAGGCATGAGAGGAGGGACTGGAAATGTCTGAAGAAGACAGGTGAGCACAATGGTTTATGGTGGTCAAGCAAGGGGTGGATGAGGACCAAGGATATAAAATCAGGCATTTGGGAAAGGGGATGGAGGGACAGACAGGTGGTTGTGTTAAAAGCTAGACGGGGCAAAGATGGCCTCCTCATGTGTAGAGTGTAGAGGGGAAGGATGGGCAGGCATATTTCCTAGAGAAGATGAGACAAAGCATCAGCCACTCGTGCCTCCTGCTGCATGCCTCTCCATCTGGTGAGACTGACTCCTTCCCTCCCTTGGTGCCCCCAGCCGAGCCTGGCATTCACCACCTCTTCTGCGGCAGGTCCCCCAGTAGGAGCTCCAGCACCCGCACATCTCCATGAGACATCTCATTGTCTCCCACTCTGCAGCCCCTGTTGCTCCCAGAGCAGCTCTCGTGGGACCAGTCTTGGGTGGGAGGATGACAGACTCGCAGTTGGGGGCATCGGTTGTCCCTGGTTACCCAGCACCAGGTCATCGCTGCACATTATGATGTCAGAGATGCCCTGGCCAAGCCTCCACCTCCCTTACAGGTCATTTGCATTCTGATACATCATTGCCTGAGATTCATCAGTGGATAAACACCCACTAAGGGCAAAGGCAGAGACATGGTCCAATGGTCAGAGGTGGTAACACTAGGGCTGTGAGAAATTTTTCAGGCAGTTTTTTTCAATGCTGTTTCGACTTGTTTCGAGCTGGAAACAGCAAATCCAAATGAAATGAAGGGCTTTGAAACAGCCTGAAAATGAAATGAGGCAAGTCAAAATGTTTCAAAATTTTCTAAATGTTTTGAGTCTCAAAGCTCAAGTTGGGCTTGCCTGCAGGGAAACAGAAAGTAAAGTAAGTGCTCTGGGGGAGGGATGGAAAAACTGCATAAAAGCAGCATTGTTTGAACTGCCCTCCATTCTGCCTTGTTGTAGGCTAGGGCGTACCTTAAAAAACACAGTGTCATCCATCCATGTCACAAGTTTTCCCTGTCAGCAGATAGGGGTGCAGGCCACAGAACACCCCTGCACTGATCTCCTTGACAGCTGGCAGGCTTCATGGCCTCAGCAGTGGCTATCAGGCCGGCAGTTTTCACCTTGCTGCTCCGTAACACACACAGTGTCAGCCAGGTCACGAGTTTTGCTTGTCAGCAGCTTGAGGTACAGTTTCTCCCAATCACCTGCATTTATGTCTTTGACAGCTGGCAGGCTTCATTGCCTCCATACGGGCTACTATCCCTGCAGTTTTGACCCTGCTGCGGCTTAACATATACACGTGACATAAGTTTTTTGCTTTAAAGATTTAAGGTGCAGTTTCCCTGAATCCCCTGCACCTATCTCCATGAAACCTGGCACACTTCATGCCCTCAGAAGGAGCTACCATTACTGCAAGTTTTATCCAAATCAGGCCAGAAATGACAAAGTTATAGGCTGTTTTGAGCTTCCCCATTATAGCATATGGGCAAAATGTCGAAACAGCGTTGAAACAGTGAAGCTGTTTCTACAAAAAGAAATGGAACAGCAGGTTCAAATTGAAATTAAATTGAAAAGGAAACACTGTTCCATATAAATGCAAATGAAAATGGAATGGTGCCATTTTGCAGAGCCTTTGTCTCCATGTCCTCCAGTTGCTACAGGAATCTCACCAGGTCTGACCAGGCCATGGGGAGGTCCATACCCTGAAGGGACCCCTGGAGTGTCTCCAGTTTGGGAGTATCAGAGAAAGAGGATCGGGGGACTAAGTTTCAGTATCCTCCTGCAGATGCCAACAATGGTCTCTGGCCTGTGTCATCTAGATCTCTCCATCAGGGACTGGGAAGATACATGTTGCTGAGCAAACAGCAGTGACCAGGTCTCCTGGAGTAGGAGCACATCCCATCTCTTGTGCTGTGCAGCAGCTGAGTTAGGCAGAGAGAGATCCTTCTCAGCCCTGGATGTGCGGTACAGAAGGGAGAGTCACTGTCTGTGTGGGAGAATGGGGAGGATTTAGATCACGGTCAGACACTGTCCCTCCCCTCAGCGTCCAAAGTGCGGGCTTGGTGCCCAGGATGCTATTGGTGCTGCTGGTGGTGACACTGCTGCTGCTTTGGTGGCATAATAATGAGAGGAGAAAAGAGAATAAAAATATTCTCATCCCGGATGGAGAGACCAACTTTCCCCAGCCTGTTCCCATCACAGTAAGCATAACAGTGGGGTTGGGAGCTGGAGGAGAAGCCTGAGAGCACCAAGTCAAAATCCTGAAGTCAGCATTTTCTAATATGGGTGATTATACCTCCATCCCCAAACCAGATATTCAGGCCACATCATCCCCTCACCCTTCAAAAGTTCTTAACTTCAGATTGTCCTTGACAATGACCCGCACATCACGACGAGAATACCTCCATCCCCAAACCAGATATTCAGGCCACATCATCCCCTCACCCTTCAAAAGTTCTTAACTTCAGATTGTCCTTGACAATGACCCGCACATCACGACGAGAGACATTCTCAGTTGGAATGGGCTTCACCTGTCCCCCAAAGGTAAGCGTGTGTTCTCTTCTAGGTTGGCAGATCTCCTCTAGCGGGTTTAAACTAGGCTTGTTGTGGGGAGGGGGGGCCAGCAGTACACCACAGGTAAGCAATAAGCAGGTAAGCAATAAGGGGCCCTTTGGGCATCAGAGCCGGGGGGCAACAAAGGTGCCAGTCACAGGGCTGAAGTGCCTATACACTAATGCTAGGAGCATGGGGAGCAAGCAGGATGAACTAGCACTCCTGCTTGCAGAAAACACTTACGACTTAGTAGGGCTAATAGAAACCTGGTGGGATTCTTCCCACGACTGGGCGGTACACATTGAGGGTTATAAGCTGTACAGAAAGGATAGAGTGGGAAAGAGAGGGGGAGGGGTGGCACTCTATGTCAATGAGCGATATACATCGACCCTTATCAAAACGGAATCGGAGGAGGAGAAAGTAGAAGGATTGTGGGTTAGGTTACATGGAGGTCAAGCAGAAAGGGATTTGGTGGTAGGGGTCTGCTACAGACCCCCACACCAAGGGGAAGAACTAGATTTGGGGCTCCTGAGGCAGCTCT